CACAGAAACAATCCATCAATTACTTGAGAAAATAATCATCTAATTACGCAATGCTAATAATCATTTGTTGCAGCCCAAATAACATACAATTTTATCACATTTCTCCAAACTTTGTTGTTTTCTTGTGAAGAACTACATAATTGCATCTCCACAGGCCTCAAAAATACTCATGTGAAACCAAAAAAGGGAAAAGTCTTCAGTTTAACAGCTCACGACTCAACAATGTGCACCCTGTGTTGAGGGTTCAATAATAGTTGTTCTTTCATAGTAAGAGGTTGGGAACTACTGATATTGGTGATGAACACAGTAACATTGTGTAGACACTGTGTGGCTGTGGATTGGTAGAATAGTACCAGCGTGTCAGTGATTCCTGGGATTAACCAGGTCACTCTTCACCCCGCAGGAGCATTAAGTCCCTTAAAACCACTAACAGTGACCCTCACCTCGATCTGTCTGCTTTGCCATGTGCTACTCGGGCGTCCTGTCACAACTCACTGACCAAAAGTCAGTGTTAGCCTTGGCATTTGACATGTTTAGGCCATCAGTCCTGTCTCTGCCTCAAATATGTGAAAGACACTTAGGTGGTAGGTCACAAGTATGGCTGCAGCTATTGATTATTTTTGAGACCTGCAATGAATAGTTGATTAATCGATCAGAAAATATTTAGATAATCACTTAATCTTTTAAGTCCTTTTTCATGTAAAAAATACCAAACATTATTCAAATGTCTGATTATCAGTCCAAAACACAAAAATATTCAAATCATATGTATCAAATTTTTGGGCATTTTAGCTTGAGAAATTGTTGCTGATTAATAACTTATCAATTGACTAATTGATTGATTGACCAATCATTGCAGGTCTAGCTGCAGCTAATGACTAGTTTCATGATCAGTTCACAATTCATTCATTATCATGTGGGCCATAAAATGTCCATCTGATGCCCACAACCATTCCTAAAGTGAAAGGTGATACCATCAAATTGCTTGTTTTGACTAACACATGGCATGTTACTAATGACTAAAACCTGGCATTTGTGCTTCTATACTAACCTAAACTATTATACAAGTATCATAATTGATGCTCACTTTTGCTCTGCCAATTAACTCTAATTATTGGACTATTTGTTTCAGCTCTAAAATGGTATGGGACTGACAGAACTACAGAAGTAACCATGCAGCCACAGAAACACAAAAAATAATCTGAAATCAGAGACTGCACGCAGCAAGACGCTCTCGCCTGCGTTTTCCTGTGAAATGAGGCAGGCAGAGACAATTCAAGGTCCCACATGTGACACACAGAAAGGCTGCAGTGACTTTTGTTGCTCTACAAGTTGTGTAACGTTAACTCCACCGACTGACAGTTCTCATCTCGGTTTAATCTCCCTCTGCCGACACCGCTGTGCTGCTGCTGCTTCACAACAACTTTTATCTGCCAGGATACTCACCAGCTCTCACGGCTGTTCATGTATCATGAGCGTAACCTTCCCTCTCACCGTGCATGTACCATCATGACTTTTTCTACGACAACCAGCTTCCGCTTCCCGGTCGAGGAGGGACACACGATTTGATCCTGACCGGCGGGGAGGCGGAGGAGCTGTTAGAGGGTTATTACTGACCACCGGGTGCTTCATCCACCTGACGTCTTTTTAGGTGCACTTTTTAATAAATAAGCAAGGCACCAATACATCCTTCACGTAACCTGGTGGACATATATGCCGCAATAAAAAATCACCGTGTGTAAGAATCCCCCTATGCTCAGGCGGACAGTGAGCAGCTCCACTGAAGGTGACCTTCAGTTCCTGGCTCTCGCATATTGTTACCGAACATGTGCGTCGGTACGAGTTTGTGTAGCATAAGCTGCTTCACTGTTTAAACTCAACGAATAATGTTCCACGCAGTCGGGTTATGCTTCACCTTAAAAACACCAGACTTTACTGCCCGTGCTTGTGTATGGGGCATTAAACAACACAGCGACAGTGACAGAAGCGGCTGCTTGCTAGTTAGCCGACAAGCCAGTGAGCTAACTAGCTGCGTACTGAATGAGGACGCTAATGTTAGCATGCCGGCTCACTTGTTTGGGTTAGCCTTGTTTGCTCGCGGTGTCAGTGTCAAGTTTGACTACATGCTAACAGCTGTGACCCATGGATGTAGACATGCATTTGATCCTGTGGAGGGTGCTCATTTGCTAATAAGCACAGATGATTCAAGGCATATCTATTAATTATGCTAATAGGTAGATACTGCTAGGTGCAAGGTGGACCCTTCTAAACTTAGAGAGGGTAGCAAGGAGATGGGGGAGGTAGGGGAGGAGAGGGTAAACCCCCATAGACCACCACCTTGAGTCCGAGGACTTTTAAGTCGCATACCAAAGCACGGAGGTGAATGTCACCAGTTTTACAGGGTGCTAAAGGGGGTGAAAATATACAATAAAGTACACGTATAATGGTAAATGCACTGGGGTGTTGGCTATATCAAAATGTAATGTACGTATTATATGACAGGTATAATCAGCGTGTGTATTATGGATGGTAAGTGTCATAGGAGCATATATGAAGCAGACTGTAGCTGCAGTCTCACCACAACCGCAGGAATCCTTCAGACGTGTCTTGTTGGCTTCCTGGGCTCCATCCCCAGTTTCATCCGCAAGATCAACCGGATTACAGTTAGGCACTGACGCCGGGATGTCATCTGTCTTGCTCACCATGGTCGGCAGTCAGTGTGGCGACAGAAATCCCCCTGCAGCTTTGCTTGAATATGTGAGTCTGTAAAAGAAATACAAAAAACAGTCTGCTTCTCCGACTAACAAAGGCTAGCTGGCTACATGCGAAGGGTACAAGCTTACAAAAACAAGTCTACGGAGGAAGGACAGTGCTGTACATGGTGGTGTCACACGTGGTTTTCTTCTCCCCTCCTCTTGACCTCTATGCCTTTGCGTTGCACTTCCCCACCCACCGAGCGTGGCGCTACGGAAAGCCACATGTGACAAATCTTTTTTTCTTTCCTTTTTTTTAACAAGCTCCTCTTTGGATTTTTTTTTTTTTTTTGACATTGTGCAGTGTAGAGTTTCCCTTTAACGGACAGAAAAATGGCTGAGTGGAAAGACAAAGAACAACAAAACACTGTGAATGTTATCCACACCACAAATATTTCATTGAATGGGTTGACCTTTGACAGTTTGACCCAGATGTCATCAGCTCCTGTCACTTCAGGTGTAAAAAAGGTCAAAATGCTACCTTCTAACTTCAGTGTCACACACTGTGTGGGAACTTTGAGCACCAAGTGTTACAAACAGTTTTCTGGTTTTCTGGTCACAGATGTTGACAAAAGCAATTCTTCTTTCACAGTGTCTTTGTGTTACCTGAACAGTATCATTTGTGCGGTTTTTATTCAGTCTCTTTTTTTCTTTTTACAAATACAAATCTTGTCTACACAATCACTTTTTTATTATTATTATTATTATTATTATTATTTGAAAATGCAAATCTTTTGTATAAATGTACAAACTGGAGTTGCACATGAAGATTTATTTCACAAATTTACAAACTTACTAAATTATTTGTGAGCTTGACTTTCCAAGCTCAAAATCTTTTTGACCCTAATTGGAGCCTGTACCTCTGGTTTTAGACAGGAGAGCATGCTGGATTTTGGAGCTGGATTCAACCACAACTGCTGGATTGTTGAGATGGATACTACTACTGAATATGACCACAATACAATGGTCATATTTGCCACTAAACAGTTCCAGCTAGAATTAGGCATAGTGAAATGGGCTCTCGTTTTCATTGGCATCAGTAAATACCACTTAAACCACAACCCAGTAATGTAAGGATTAACATAGCCTTTTTAATGCTGAGGAATGTGGTGTGAACATACAGTATGTATGTTAGGTTAGCAGCAGACATTTTAAAACAGACTCAAACTGTTGTTAGCTACTATTAAATGCCCCATTTGCTGGCTGTTCTCAAACTAGCCAGGGGGGTGTGATTTACAGTCTATAAAAACACAAACTGAATGAATGTCTCAAAACTGGATTTTGCAGGGTATCTGCAGGTCTTGAAAAGTCTTTAAAAGCACTGATTTAAGTTCCCTCAAAGAAGGGCTTTTAAAGGTATTTTAAAAAAAAGTTTTAAATGTAGTTTACAAAGGTGTTAAATATTTTCTCTAGCATGACAGAGACAGTACACAGTAACATATTTTTAACATTATTTTAGCTAAATCTGGCTGGCAAATCTCCAGGTCTACTATTCCAGACACTTAACGATACGTAAAACTCATGAGGACCCTAAATAAATTAAAAGGTTATTTTTTAATTAGTTAAATTGGTTCATCCATCTATTTTCTAATGGTTATCCAGGTCCTGTTCAATAATGAACTAGAAGGACACTCAGAGAGCGCAGACTTCCACCAAGGCCAATGGCAAACAATATGCACCAGACTTCAGGAAAAAAAAATCAATTTCATAGTAAATGATCTGGATATGCCCCAAAATCTAAGGGGTTCTTCCCTGGCTCATGCCCCATCCTTTGACCAACTACAGAGGAATCCATTCCTCTCCACCTAACAAAGCACCAATTTGAGCTCGAAACTTAATGTAGGCTAATAAAGGAGATAGAGGCTCCTTCTTTTACAAAATAATGATAATAATACTGAGAAAATTAGACTGACCTGAATACTTTCCCAGATGGATCTAAAGCACTTCATTTTTATAATTATAGAATGGTAAATTGTAGCTATCTAACTGGCTTGGATAATGTTTTATTATTCAGATTGAATTACTGGAGTTATTTGATATAGAAGTGAATAATGTATGGAAATAATTTTAGTACCATATTTTCAAAATGTATACTATCCCAAACTATGTATTAGTCCCATATACCATTATATTTCTTATACGTGTTTGTTCAAGGTCTCCTGTTTGGTCAAAGTTACATCATAGAATTCAACCACACAGACTTCATTCTGAGTTTCAATAACAAGCAGGCAGCAGACTAGACAATCCTTCATTTTATTCCAGGTCTGTGTATAGTAGATCACTAAAGGAAGCGAACACAGTATATGCGGTAATCAGTCAATAGCTTATGGCCACTCAAGGGCCAAAACCATACAAAGACCCAGAGCAACACCTCTCTGCTTTTCATGTTGGGTACCACACAGCATTATTGCTAGAGCCCAAATAACATGTCAAACAAGATGTCTTGTGGTGCCTCACACAGTCCACTTCAATGTTTCTGTAAGATGCAAAATAAAGTTATTTGACCTCAACCAGGACAAGACCTGAATAAGAGGAAATGACAGAGATGATGCTGCTGACATTTGTTAGCGTTACTATTATGAGGATTTGGGTTATCATATAAGCATTTAGAGAGATGGAAGACATTCTCTGTGGCTGTGAGTAAATGATCTACTTTCTTGCTATGTTTGACTGATGTTAGATGTGCTTTGAAAAGTAGAAAAAGCAAATCAGGCAGTGAGGATTTACTCCCTTTAGCTGAAATATTCATGAAAAGACATCTTCATTAAGGCATCACACCGTTCATCTTCATGTTAATTTTAGTGGTGGGCCTCTTTGCCTCATTAGCGTTTTCCCCCAAAGCAGACAAACCAGTCATCAGTCTATGAGTTGTATAAACTGTAGCAAAGATGCGTACAGCATTTTTTTTTAAAGTATAGATCATCTAAAATGTGAAACAATGGTATGACGTGTTATGCACCTTTCATAAACTGATTATGAAAGATGGATGGAGAGATTAGTCTACCTGCCGTTTCATTTACAAGACAAGTGGATTGATGAAACCATGAAGTCTAACAGTCTAAGTTCAGGATTCCTCCTGGGGGGAAAAAAATGAAAAAAAGAAACTGTTTTAAACAAGAAAGCTTTGTACTTTTGTCCCCTACTGTTTCATAAAACTTGAGGAAGAGTAGTGCACACAGTTATGCTAATGGCTTACCAGTTGAGAGGTGAATGAAAACCCTTGTCACATTTGCATTTTTGCTCAAAAGAAGACAAGTTATTCATCCAGACAGTCTCATGTGGCATAATAATATGCCCATTTGCTTAATGCTGCTTCACATACAGCATATCCTTGATTCCCCTACATGGATATGCCTCCTATAAACTGTAACATAACATTTAATCATGTCAAGATTCAGTGGCAATCAACAGAACTTTTCAAAATCAAATATGTTAGACAGTTCAGAAAAATATTAAGCAAAACATACTGAGCTTGACAATTACAAAATACAAAGTTAAACAATCATAAAATCTATTTCAACACCTCAAGTGTACTTAAACCAGTTAACGTGATCTACTAATAATATATAAATATATTGATATATTGCTTTATTGAACATTTACTCCTAAAACATGATCCTAAACTTCTAACCAGTAGTTGTAGAAGGTGAGAAAGCCTTGCAGCAATTTATCACAATTAAATTCAGCCTTACAGGAAGGCTCCTGTCATAGATACTGACTGCACTTACTGATGTTCAGATAAGTCATGGCTCAAGTATCGACTGACTCCGACAAAATATTTTTGAATCAAAAATAACTGAAGTGCAACATTACATACAATAAACCTTTATATGCAAACCCCACAGCATCTTATAAAAGTGTTGTTGAAATAAAAAGATACAGTACTAAAGTAAAGAAATGTCTTCAGTTTCCTCACTTTGAGTCCTGCAAGTCCATTACTCCTCCTTTATAAGGCAGGAATTACAGTGGGGTATCGATCAGACAACACTGAATTCATAATCTGCTCTGATACATGTAAGCAATAACATAAAAAGTATGTCCTACATTAAAATATAGCCACTGAAAGTGTAATTTCACCACCACCCCATATGCTATTTGCTCATTGTTACACTAGGGGCCACCATGCGCATATGTTTTGATAACACAGGATAGAGGACACACACATACAAACGTCCTTCTAGTGATTCTGCCTTCTCCCAATTTACAGTAAACTGTCTAGGTGTGCATTTTGACATAGCTACTTTGGGAATTTGTGTAAAACAGAAAAGGAACACATTGTAAGTAGACCATCAATCAGATACTGCTTCTGCTGAAAACACACACACCAAAATCTACAGTCATGCTCGTTTGTCCATTTTTCCTGAGGTGAAAAGAAACCCCTACAACACAACCACCTCAAACACAAATGAGTTAAAGCAGTAGTCGTCTCGCTCTCTGTGTGTGTGTGTGTGTGTGTGTGTGTGTGTGTGTGTGTGTGTTTAGTACACAATCCACACCTGAGTAAAGCACATGGTCCAATGAGTCAGAACTGATTATCACCTGAATGTGGCCCATTTATACCAAGAAGCCACTACAGAGGAATAGCTGCATATCACTTATGCCTCGATATATGTCTTAGTAAAACATCCAGGCTAAATATTGTGTTGTTTAGCCCCGGATGCAAAGTTTGCATGCGGCCAACACTACTGCTGACTGACCTTTAGTTTTTATCTTGAAGAAATAGTAAACAACTCATCTATTAATTACTTATTAGTTGTAATGAAATTGAAAGATAATTACAAAAACATGTTGTGAAAGTGAGAATGACGTTCTGTGCGAGTGTATTCTGTTCGATATGTATGATGGTGTGAATTTACTGTTTTGGAGGTTTAAAAATGTTCTAATTTTACAATGTGCCTGGGGTCTGAAATAAGTAATAACAATAACAGTAATAATAACAAGAAGAATGTAGGTAAGAAGAGGTCAATGGAATTGAAGTGGCGCAGAGACATTACATGGATGCTTACTTGATGCTTACTAAAGAAATAAAGGTCGGCTCTGGTCAAATCATGATCCACTTTTAACGTTTGATTCTTGTCAGTTGAAACTATGGTTAGGCTATAGACGTTTTGCACATCAGACATTTTGACTTGACTTGGAAAGCACAGTTGATACTAATAACATCAATAATAACATAATTCTATTCAGGTGAGCAGGTTCAGAGTCCATCGTTTCCGGCATGACTAACACCTGTGTGTCTCCTGCTGGTCAAAATGTCTTCTATGTAAAAGGTCTATTGTTGCTACAGATACCTACAGTTAATAGTTTGCACTGTGTTTTAAAACTGTGTCTCAGCTGCCGACCTGCTGGTTTTCCGCTTGAAAAATGGTTTCCCATAGCAGTTGTCTTCAGTTGTTGGAGCTTGGGGCCAATCAGAAAGTATTTTCTGTGGATAAGCTATAAATTGTATCATTACAATGGATCTATAAGATAACAGGGTGGTGTTTAGTGGTCCAGGGTTAAAATGTTAAACCGAAATTAAAATTACTAAATTACTATTTCTAATCTGTTGTCTGTTCTTTCAAAGTGAGAGAAACATACCTCCTTTCAATCAATTTTTTTTTTTTTTACATGGAGGACTCACACAAGAGGTGCCCACCACACATATAGTTTCACCTGGCCACACAAACATTTGGCCACTTGTGATTTATGTTTGGCCTTAAAAGGTCACATTTTTGTTGGGCCACATAGTTGGGCATTGGAGTAGTCCACCTAAAATGGCTGCTACCATAGTCAAATGTACCCTCACTGTAAATTTAAAAGGGGGTGCTTTGAAATAAGGCCCCACACAGTATATAGAGCATGTGACACCACTGTAAACAGATTCTAATTTAATGTAAGACTGACTTAAGGTGACACTGAGTTTTGCTTTGCAGGTTGTTTAAGGTTATATCAAAGTCTAGTTTAAAAAGTTTCTATGGTAAGTTTAATATAATTCAATAGCTAAAACCAGTCTCAGTACCAATTCAGTCAAGGTGCAGAACAAGAATAGTTAATAGCATTAACAGTCAAACAGAAGATAATCATACAGCGATCACACTGTAGTCAGAAGCAAAGGTCACAGTAGTTGCTAATCTGCCTTCGTCTCAGCAGCAGGGGGCACTGCAGCTGAAGACACCATTCTGGCGGCTTCATCCTGAGGCTCCATCGGCCCCTCCCCACCTCCTTCCTCCTCATCCTCCTTCTCCAGGCCCAGTGGAGGCTGTCTTTGTGCCAAAGAGTGCCTGGAGCGAGCTCTGTGCCTTCGAGGATGGAGGAAGAGTGCAGGGTCAGGCATGGCTGTGGGCTCTGCAGGGCCCATCACTCTCTCTATGGGCACACACTCCCGGGCACGCTCCACTCTCGAAGATGACCTAGCGCTCTTACGCTTGGGTTTAACCACAGGAGAGGAAGGGGAGGCTCCTGATGGCATCTGTGGAGAAACTGAGTTCTGCTCGGCACCATATGGGGCCCCCTGACTGTTGGCTCTAGCAAGGAGTCCCTGCCTCTGCTGCATTCGCTGGTGGTGCAGTTTCTGCCTGGCAGCATGCAGCTGGAAGGAGAGGTATGCTGCTGCCTCTGTTTGTTTCTGCAGCTCCGTGTTGAGGATGGTTGAACAGTGGCTGCGGCGTTTGAGCTCCTCCAGGAAATGTCGCTCCTTTTCTTTGAGATTGGCTCTGAGGGCTCCCACCAAAGCCCCTTTGTGACTCAGCTCCATACGAAGCTCTCCTAAGGTGCACTCCTGGTCTGCCAGGCGGTTCTCCACATCCCGACAGTGAGCCTCCAGGAGCTCCTCCTCTTCCTGTAACTCTAACATGGAGAAGAAATGCAAATGTTGAAACATAGTACAAGAGTACATAAGAGCTTTATTAAAATGTATGTGTATGTAAATGTTCAACGAAACAATTCACTAAATAAATACAATAATCTGAATGTTCGCTTTCCACAGAGCAGATAAAAACAGAACCAGGACAAATACACAGCATATAGACAGTTTAATAGCTGTATTCATTACCACAGACAGTGTAAGTATCTTATGCAAAGCTGAGTGTGGCCTTCGTTGGGCCACACCAGCTCTAATCCTCAGCACATATGAACCACAGAGACACAATTCTTGCTTGGATCCGTTTATTTAAATAGATATTAAAGCAATTAACAGGACTAAATCCTGATTGTTTATTATTATCATTTATTTTTTATCACTAGTTTCCTCTCAAAATTTGATAAGAGTACTGTATTGTAGTCTGTACTGTAGTCTGTAGTATTGAATTGTATTGTGAGATGTCTGATATTTTAACTTCTTGGATGTTCATATCAAGGTAAAGTAATTAAAACCTCCTTTACTTCTTAAAAGCAAGGCACAGTTTAAGCTGCACTACAAGCCTTTATATACTGTACAGTACACAAAGGCTAGTCCTTGCAATTCAGTTCTACCATATCATCAACCAATCCTGATGAGGCATCATTCCCAAGACAGCTACAAAGAGACTACTACTTGAGGTCCTCTCTCCACATGAACTTCGATCTCTGTGCCAAGGTCAGGTTTAACACAGTATATTGCTTATGATTCTTTTTTTCTTCTTTTTGTAGACAACCTTTATGCTCTTTCATTCATGTAAAACTCCCCAGAGGAGAGGGAGGTATGGATGAAAAGCCCTGTGTCAGTGCAGCAACCTCAGGGCTAACTGAGCTGGAGCTTGCCAGAGGGGAAGGAGATTACATCCACAGAGGCCGGCACTAATGCCTCTGCCCATAGAAATAGGCCAAGTGTGCTGGGTAGGAGAATCTCAAAGGGCAGTGGGAGGTTTGTTGAGTCCTGGAGGTGAAACTTTCAAGCCTGGAATCCATATTAGGTTTTAAATGTAATGGGGTGCTTCATCCATAGCTTCCTCTTGAATCAGTCGTCTTTTCCCGTCTACATGACTTCCCTTTCATCCTTTTCAGTCTATGGTTGTCCTTTTCTGTTATCCTTTTCCTTCTATGGATGATCCTCTGAGAACCGGTCAGTCTCAGATTTTGTCGCCTATTGCCACACCCAAGTTGAGATAATATGCTAACTATAGACTACCTAATGTGATCTTCATTTCCTTCAATACCCCTCTCCCCTTCTCCATCTCTGCAGCTGACCGCATCCTGCCGCCTTGTCTTTTCCCTTAACGCTCTCCTTCCACCTCTTCCTCTCTCTTTTCCTGACTCTGACTCTCTCTCCTTCTCAGCAAAGGCTGTAAGTGGACACCCCCATGGGGAGCTTGAGGAAAAATGAGAGCAGGAAAGGAAAAAGAAGATGGATCAATTTGTCAGGCTGGGAGAAGAACAGAGGGCCATGTTGTATTGATGGATTGGGGGATAACCTGTCCTGGAAAAAGAGATGGGGTCTAATGGCTGAGTAGTGCAGCCAAACATGACTCCCCCTCCATATTTTATACAAGCACACACACACATTCACGCAGCCTTTTGACTCCTCTTTCTCTGGTCTGTCTCTAATTTGCTGTGACAAAATGGTGCCCATCTCTGCATCCCTGCATCCAGACACCAGCAATGGTCCTGCAAACGTCAGCTATGAGCCAAATATGTCGAGGCATGCTGTCTTTGCAGTTGTGTTTAAATCTTCACAGCGAACATGTTGCCCTCATAAAGCCGTGACCAATTCCTTTCAAACAGGAAATCTTGCACAAATTTGTGTAAAAAGCTTATAAACACACACAGGGAAACACAGATGCACTTCGCACCCATGATTTTGGCTGTGTATGGTTTGTCAGAGACCTCCTCCGGCTTGCCGGTGAAGAGATGACGAGAGAGAGAGAGAGACAGGGAGGCAGGGGTGAGAAGAGGGAGGAGGGTGGCTGACGGGGATCTGTCCCCTGGGGGATGGGAGGGTGGGAAGGACAGAGGGAGGCAGAGATGGATGCATGCGTAGAGAGATAGTCAATTGGGGGTTGAGGTTGAGTGCGGCGAAGGAAAACTAACCCAGAGAGATGAAAAAATGTGTCTGCCTTTGTGTCTCCAAATCAGAGCAAGAAAACTAAAGTAGTGGAAATACAGACATAATTCATTACAGATAATTATGAGCAGTTAAGGGATTTTTTTTTTAACATACCTATTTGGTTTCTGCCTGGAGGCTTTACCTTCAGCTCACTTGTCAACTCTGAAAAACCCAAGAGAAAAACAAAAACACAGGAACGAGTCATTAAAGAGACAGAAATATAAATGTGACATGAAGTCAAACTGTTTGCACAAATATAGATGCTCAGTGCTTCTGAAATGTCTTATTAAAGCTGTATGCTGACATTTTCTGTTTGCTGTTACTGGTTAACATAACAGATGCTTGATGCAGTTTCCAGAACATTTTCAGTGAGCTCATACATAATTTATGAAGCTAAATCTGAAACTTTACATCAAAGAATGTGTGCCAGAGACTGGGCCAGTGATGTCCTGTTACAGTAGCTACTAATCACAGTCTGGAGAAAAACTCTCTTTACTGTAACTTCAATTAGACATATCAGCTTTATTAGCATTCCTCACTGAAATCAATATTCACTTAAATACAAAAACTACTGGCTTTGCAATTTGTTTCAGAGGGCAATGCAGACCTAACAAACAGCAACTTAAAAACCCTTACACAACATTTGACATTTCAACCCAAAGCTTCAGTTTCACACCGTCACATTCTGCTCACTCATGAAATCTAAAGGTGAAATGTTATTGATATGTGATTTTTTATGAAGCTGGCTGATTCAGATGTTCTCAAGAGATTTCTTATAACATTTGAATATTGGTATACTCTATTTAATGTTGTAGATGGCTTTTATGCATCCATATGTCTTGTCCCATAAAAAACAGACAGATAACAGACAGTGGGCACTTAGCAGTTTTCCTGACTGATTAAAACAGTTTTACCATCCCACATTCATAGACATGACTGTACTGGTTTTTTTTTTAGCAGTGTGGGAAATAGTAAAAGCGTTGAATCACGTTACTGTGAGACATCCCTGCAACATGATTAGGATTATCCAAATATTACGTGACATGATATCTGGCGCACTGGCATTTTTAGATCCTGGGTGGATTATCTCTCATGTTCTGGCAAAACAGCAACTAATGGTCTATGTTTTTGAGAAGATAATGTATCAGACGAGTATCTGCACAGTTATTAGTGCCGTTGGGCTGTCCCTGATAAAAATATTTCAGCATAGAATCTCTGTGGTGGTTGTGGGAATTGGACTCCTGGTCATGTCTGGCCTTTCACTCATCTCCATGGTCATTCAGGGTAATGTCAGAGTAATGTGGCATAGATTTGACTTGTTTCTTTTCCCAGAGCCAGAAATGCTCAATTAGCAGCCCTGAAATGACTTGGAAAATAGTCATTTTTAACCTGTAACACTCTATTAACACCTACCCACTGATGTTTACTAAAACTAATTTTCTATATAATTATTAGTGTCAATTAAATATTAAATTTAGGTTTTAGGATACAAAATTATCAATATTTTACATATCATTGGATTTTTCTAATTTTATGAAGAAAATATTTGCATTTTGTAATGAAACCCTCGATAATCTAGATCAATCTAGAACGGCATGTGTTGGTTATTTCTGGCCTTTCTTCTTTTCTTGCTCTCTCTGTCACACCCCTTCTCTTTCCCTCTGCAGTCAGCATAACACACCCACCCATGCAGCTGCCATGAAGAGAGAAGGACAGAGGGGGTGAAGAGGGGAGGAAATACGATAAGAGAGAAGAAAGGAAGGAAGTAAGGAAGGAAGGAAGACAGAGGAACGCCAGGCAGGCGGCTCCAGAAAGACAGACCCGTTGATTGCTGGTTTAAGTACTGAACCATGACTGCCAAATGTGTGACACTTTAATTTTCTAGTTATTATCCTCATTCACAACTTCAAGAAGCATTTATGTAGTTCATTTAACAGCAGGAAGTCGACTGTAAGAAATATTTCTTGAAAAAACTGTCAAACAATGAAAACGAGGTGCTCAGGACATTTCAACATACAGTACATACTTTGTAGGTCAGGTTTATCTCCTACAGCCTCTCTAAACATTCAAGGTTTTTGTTTCATGGCTCAACCTTGAATGTTGCAAAGATATCTTGAAGGGCAAACACACACATACACACACAACCACACAGACGCACAAATAATTGATTTCAATGACACACAATAAACACATTATATGTAAGACAAAGACCCCATTTCAAAAACAGAAGACAAAAATTGATTTAGCTTGATGTTCAATGGGACAGATGGGAAGGCACCTTCATGCTGATGAGTTCAAAACAACAGGAACAAAAAACAATACAAAGGCAGAGCTAATATGCACAGTACCACCGTCAGCTCAACCTTGCAGTATCCTTCCATGCTACACATTAGCCAGCTGGCAGCAAACACCTATCACACCTGCGCATGGCATTAGCCTACCAGCATCTAGCCTCACAGCCATTCTCCAGACTCGTCATCACTTCATTTTTATTTCTCCAACAAAAACAATCAAAAAACTGAGTAAGTTATACATGTTATCCCTCACAAAGTATCACCTCGCAAACTTTAACTACAGGATATCAGGGAGTGTATTGTGGATATGTACAAGAGGGAATATAATCAACTGCAATTTGATTATCTTTAAATTTATTAATAGATATATTTTTGTTGTGGCTGTTCCAGTGAGTTGATTCTCAAAACTTAATGCAGAAATGTCTGTTTCAACCTTCAAGGTTAACAAAAAAAACAAAAACAAAACAAAACAAAAAACAGGATATTTATACAGACAAAAAAATGAGTTTTTGAGAGCTTGCAATTTTCTGTTTCCGTTTCCTTTGCATACTGGAAATCTAGGAATGTGTGTAGTGGCCAATTGATCTTACTTTGGCTTAAATAACAGACTTTTGATTCTGGCATAAACGCATCATAAGGAGCTTTAAAGGTGCCCAGCAGAAAGAGTAGATGGTCTTGAGTATTTTAGTGAATGTGGCCTAATAAGGTCCCTGCTTATGCAATCCCACAGAAACCTCTGAGGAATGTGAACATGAAAGACTGTGTTATGGGCAGACACAAACTGCTGAGCAGATTCATGACTCCAGCTGCTGCAGGAAGAAGATTTATTTGTGTTTATGAGGTTTGAGGAAGGAATAAGTTTGTTACCTCTGAGAAACTGCAGTGAATCTCTCTGGAGACTTCATTATTGATTAAATCATTTTTATAAAGGAAACTATTGTCTTTCGGAAGGTTTAGCTACACATTGTCTCGTTTTGCTGGACTCCGTGTGGACAAAAAAATATCAACAATCTGTAAAAGCACCAAGTTGGCTGCCCTCCACATTCACACTGGGAGACCCCGTGGAGACAGAGGGAGAGGAGCAGGTGGAGCAAACAGTTAGAAATACAGAGAGACACACTCTCTCTCTCTGTTGGGGTGTTAGTCTCTTTCTTTCAGTCTGTTTCTCAACATACAACACACACACAGCTTTGCTAGCCAGATGTAACTGTGCAGCAGAGCTAAAGTGATGGAGGGGGTTGTTTTCAACACAACTGGTCACATTGGCTCTGAGCCATCTTTCTGTCTTGCTCACACACTCACTCACTCACTCACTCACACACACACACACACACACACACACACACACACACACACACACACACACACACACACACACACACACACACACACACACACACACACACACACACGTAACCCTCCCCCTCACACTCCCCTTCTGTATGTGTTTAACCACAATCCTCTTCATATGGATTACTAAAGCCATGGGATCTATGGATTAACCAAACCATTATAGATATGTTTGTATGGATCTTTCTGAGGATCTATTGTGTGTGTGACAATAAATGATGTGTATTTTGTGTGTTAGTCTGCTCCGTGTGTATTTATTTATGTATACACTTGTATTCACTTTGTGGACACAAAAATCTGTTTATACAGGAGCATAAGAGAACTCCCTCCCATTCAAAGACTATTCATTTTAGGACTTGGCTTTATAGGGTGTATGAACAGGTTTAACGCTACATTCATGTAACATTGTTTAAACCGTAATTACAAGCAGCTCAGTGGAAAAAATTGTTCATGTCAGCTTCCAACTTGGAGATATCAGGAATTTCTGACAGAGACGGTATCTACAACTTGATGAAAGAACTACAGACATGTCAACAAAATGTTGGCAGAAGGGCTGAAAATGCGCCGCTGCAGGCAGTTACATCAAAGGAAAATCCAACACTAACACTGATGCAATCCATTCAGCTCATTTTATGTAAGCTACACACCATTGGTTTATATCGGGTTTCACTTGGTAACAAACTGCTACAAATAACAATGAAACTAGCGGATTTAGGCTGTTTATCTGGTTTCAGCACTAGGGCTAACTACCTTGGAGTAATGTGTGAACACCCCCAAGTTGGAATAATGGGTGTTTTTCCTGTTCTTCTCATTCTTCCTATACTGTGTATGCAGCATAAGGTCAGAGTGTTGGCTTTAGGCATGTAGCTGCAATAGTTAAGGATAAGGAAAGCCTCCAGAGAATTAATCAAATTAAATAATAGGTCTTCGCAAGCATAGTAATAGTGTGTATGCGTGTGTGTGTGTGTGTGTGTGTGTGTGGCCATATGCACTTGCTTGCTTGATTATATAGATGACATATCCATTAGGCCCCCAAACAGGAAATGATGCAATCTACAGGAATTGTAGCGTTACATCACCATGTAGTCATTGTCTGGCATTGACTGATAGAGCAGACGCACATTAGATGAACAATGAGGACTGCATGCACATGGGATCTGTTTCAAATGAAAAAGGCAACAGCAGCACTGCAGATTGTAACTAAACATAGATTTATAAAAGCAACATGCCCCCCTACCAAAAAAAAGAATATATATATATATATATATATGCTGATAATAAAGAACTAATAATCTTTAAAAACAAGCTTCATAAAAGAAAGAATCCTAAGAATATCTGGTTTCATGCTGGACGGATTATTATAAAAATAAAAAACTCATCAGAAAAGGTTGTGGAACTGTCTTTTTTCCAACAATCCATCAAGCCTGTAATTTAAAATCTTAATAAATCTCCTCTCTAAGCGTAAGGGGTCAATGAGAGCTGTCCTTGCTGATTAATAAAGAACTAAAGAAGCTAAAAAGAAAAATTAACACTAGAAGGGGATCAGCCAAAGGAATCACTTAAATGTGAACTCATTAGAGCTGAAATGATTAGTCAATTACCAACAGAGAATTTATTGCCACGTATATTCTGATAATTGATGAATCCTTCAGTAATTTTTCAAGCAAAACGTGCGAGGATTTGCTGCTTTCCTATAAATGATAGTGAATTGAATATCTTTGGTTTTGAGTCTTACTTGGACAAAAGCAGTTTGAAAACATTACTTTGGACTCACATGTGACGGGAAGTATATTCTTTTTAACATATAGACTAAACCAATAATCAATTAATCAGTCATTAATAATGAAAACCCCTAGACTACAGCTCTTAACTGGCAACAAATGAGTATATATATGCTCACAGCTTATCTGCTAAGCATTGATAAATTATTCAGGGGTCACATAAAAGTTTCTTGTCTCTCTTTCACACACACATGTACAGACACATGGTAACAATAGCAGCAGTATGTCCTTCACCTGTGCATCGTTTCTGCAGGGAGAGGATCTCCAGGTGGAGACCATGGAGCAAAGTGAGGTGCTCCTGCCTGAGGAACACCATGCTCCTCTCCACACTCTCTACCTGCCGAGACAGGCTGCTCTCATCACCCATGGCCGAGTCTGAAGAGACAGAGGGAGGGGATCAGAAAGATGGAAATGATACTTTTTATTTACTCCACCAGTATACAATCCGCTCTGTTTTTAAGAAACTACCTCGATTAACTTCATATGGCACTATAACATATAACTTATAAGCTTGAACTCCAGCTGCTTAACGTCACTTTCTCATACTGTGAACACTGCTTATGTCAGCTACAGAGAGAGGGAAGTGCAAGTTAAGTATTGAGGTCATGTGGGAGCTATAAATAAGGTATTGATGATCAGAGAAATCAACAAAAACAGGAGAAACCATGCAGCTCCTGCCAGGATGCAGCTAAATCGATAACTAAGCCTTTACATTGGGTCATAAGTCGATACAAGTGTCTCTGCTTACCTTTATATTGATGTTAAGTACCAAAATTTAAGAAATACGATTTGCAAATGTTATAAAAACGTCCTCCGATCCCGGCATGCTGGCCTCCAGCGCTGCTCCAAATCCTGTACGCTGCGGCATTCGCCCAAAGACATTTTATCTGAAGCGTTGAAGTGCTTTTTGGCTGCATGTGACGCCGTTTGATTAGAGGAGGAAGAGGCTGGATAGCTGCGTAAAAATGCAAAACCACCACGATGCATGGCACCGCTGTCCCCGAGCAAAACCGCTCCTCGCTGCTGCAACGTCTGCGTCAGGCATCGTTAGGAAGAGGACGTTTTCAAATTGGTCGGTGTGAAAGCCCGTGGAAGAACTGCGCAGTTCATTTTCAACACGCACACCTTTCTTCCTCGACCAACGACTGAAACATCAAGCTGCTGTGGACGGCTGAGCTGGGAAGTGCTGAAAACAAGCCATCGTGACCAGAACACGCGAGAACATCGTACGACAGAGTCAGCACGAGAGCTGATTGGAGGGACAAACCCTTAACGGCTGTACGTAGAGTCTGAACAGGATCGATACAGACCTCGTGGGAGTACAAAGGAAAACACAATACCCTAATGGCTCACTGTAAAACTATTAAAAAAACAAACAAAAAAAAACACACACACACACACACACACACACACACACACACACACACACACACACACACACACACACACACACACACACACACAATCAAACAAAACATAATGTGATGAGAAAACAAATCTTTTCAAAATAAAAATTGCTACAAACCAGTCAAGTTGTTTATTTTGGGACTCCATACAAAGTGATTTGATTGGTCGGATTTCAGTACCTTGGACAGAGACAGGCCGAGGCTGCTGCAGTGGTTCTCAACCTGCGGGCCGCGGACCTGGAGTTCTGTTGTTATTTAATGCACAAGGAAGGGGGTGGGGCAAGTCCCCAGGTGAAGTAAAGATAAGGAGCTATCAAAAGAAGTGGTAAATTCAAGGTTCAGGTTTTCATCCATAACATCAAGGAAATTGCAATGCTCCCATCCCATCTACCAACACTGTTTAATGCGCATACAATACACAGAACAAACTTTGTACTAGGCTGCCTTTCTGCTCAAAATACAAAACACTTTTTAGCGATGGTAGAACATAAAGTACATTTACTCTAGTACTGTTCACAACATTTCAAAGACTCTTTTTACATTAATATACAAAACGTACAATGAGCTTATAAAATACAATGACATTTTATAGACTGAACTACCCAACAGTAGGCTGTGTAAAAAAGTTTAACTAATAGCCCCTATAGTCTGAACCAGCTACAACATTAAAATGCAGTAATGTTAATGCATCTGTGTCAATGCAATATTATAATACATAATAATATAACTAACAGGGGGCATTCAACCTTTGTAAAACTTTTACTTTTGATACTCTCATGTTACTGGTAATACATATGTACTTTCATTAATCATATTTTGAATGCAGGACTTGTAATGTCACTTGTAATGGAGTACTTTCACACTGCGCTATTGCAGTAAAGAGTCTGAATACTTCTTTCATTACTGCTATGTAGCATTTGTTGCTGTAATTAGACATTAAGTGAATATTCTACACTTGATTAATTCAGTTACAAACCACGCAAGTAACAGCATAAATCTGTGTCATGTGACAGCCCTCTGACTCTGCCATGACCTGTAGGGTGTGTCTTGCCCTTGGCTGCTGTTTGTGTTTTGTGTCTCCCTTCAAATCCTGGTAGGTGGAGTTTACATAAGTGCAACTGGGTGTACCTGGCCAGTTTATCAAGAATGCATTTAGGATGAGCTGTCCCCATTTTCTCTCTCTCACCCCATCGCTGGATCTCCTCATTACACCTCATGGTTTCTTTTGTTTGGTTTGGTTTAGTTGTACATCTCATTATATTACACCACACTGATCCACTGATAGATCATTATATACATTTAATTAACGTATTTGGTTCCCATTTACCAAAGACATGTGATTTGTTTGTCCTTCCAAGTACAGCTGTGTACATTTCACTCTTTTTGTCATGGTCTAGGAGCCGGGTCGTGACAGTCAGTAAAAGGAAAACACTACATCAATTTCCTTGATCTTTATTTTCACGTTAAACAAATATTGTTATTATATAAACATATAAATGGTAGGTTTAATAACAAAACAATCTCTGCCAAAACATGAAAAAATAAAATTGTTATATTTACACTTAAAGACAAAATTCTGTGAAACATGACAGTTTGATGCTCCGAGACAGCAGATGATTTTGTTTTCAGAACCTCAGTTAGTCTTGGTTGTTTCACTATTCCAGGTTTTTCCCCTTCATGCAGGGTTTATCAGTCATTGACAATCTGCAGAGTGTCAATACTAGTGTTAGGAATTTCAATTTTTGAACTGTTAACAATGTCCAATATTTCACCAGTCACCAGACAAAGAGAAGTCTATAAATAAACAAACAAGGAAATAAAACTGGTCTTACTTGTTGATTGTGATAAGGAAATGGTGCTTTTCTTATTCTCTGGTAATGGAACTAATAAAAAAAATTATGAAGACCAATGCAGTCAACCATCATATTTATCATGTATGATGAGGAGTATGAGGCTATATGGCAATACAAGTTCATAAGTGCTGCCACTTTCTCTGCAATTACATCTTGACATAATTTTCCTTGTGTCCATTACCCACAAACATATAAAGCCATAGCATCATCCTGTGGCCTTTGGACACTCAGGTTTTGTGATGCGAGCCATACAGGTAGCGAAAAGACTGGGAATTAGAGTGAAGGGAGCAGTACAGTAGCATGTTTTTGGACAAAGGTCCATCATCGTCATTACAACATTCATATGAGGAAGCATCTTGACTTGGCTGCTATGCTTGATCACAATTCCTAAAAGCACAGAGCAACATAAATGAACAAATCTGGTATCATACATGTATAATCCCAAAAACATTACAGCCTCATACAAAACATTCACAAACATAAGCTTGTTTGTTAGAAAGAACTTCAATTGTCACAAGTTGTCTTCACTACAACCACAAAGCTGCCCTAAAAATTTGAAGAATTGAAAAAAAATGCAAATCTACATTCACAATAAAAACTCAAAAGGGAGATACTCCTGATCTTTAAAAAAGGTAACTGGAAATCAGCAACAGTAATTCAAAATCTACTGCCCTCCTCCCAAACAGTGCTGTTTGTTTAGTGCAGTGATGTCTTGATTTAAACGTGGATAGGGATAAATTTGTCGACTTTGTTTGTGTCACTCAATCAGCTACAAATACACCCATCTGGCAGTTGATTAGCTACACCTAGCTGAAACTAATGCAGTCTAATACAGCAGTTCAGCAAAAAACACCTACCTTCATGACGCTTATAATGTTCACTTTTTAATAGTATTAAAGAGATGTTGATTCAAATGTGACAATTTTGCAGGATGTTTGAGCTACTGTTTTATTGCATTATTCAGAGAGGTTTCTGTTATTTAGCCTATACTCATTAATATAAATCTGCCTTGACAAAATAATGGAAACACAGGTCATCATCCTCCAAAATTATCATCAAGTTGAATCAGCCCCTCTCTTAAACAATTTCAATACAAACTGAACATTATAACCTTCATGAAGGTAGGATTTAGCTAGGTGCTCCTAATAAACTGCCATCTCAGTGTTTACAGCTGATTCTAAATATAAAATTTGGGTCTGATTTTCTTTTGAACTGCAAATAAGTCTGTTGCAATGTCACTGAACATGGAGCTGTGTTTGTTATATGGTTGGTTTTAGGGCATCAGCCTAAACAGTTTCAAGTTCAGACACTGGGTGGCAAAATGCCCCACAACAACATGACTTACACAATCAACTTCACTATAATCAAAGGTTTTTCACAACAGGGGAATTCACTGAACACTGTGTTCATTCCATCTTTAATCCACACCTTATTTTAAGTACAAATAAATTACAATATACACAATTTAACCCGTCAGACAATGAATATACACAAAAAAAAAGCATTAACACACAATATGAACGGCATGGCAGGCCATGAAAAGGACTGTGATGTTATGATGCGAGTTGGAAGAGTAGACAGCTGTGTAGCAGCCACGTGAATAACAATTGACAACGTCTAATTAAAAAGTCAAAATGACACAGATCTACAAAGACGTTACAAAATAAAGACATCTCTGGTGGTCTTGGCTGGGTCGAGGTCACTGAGGTGATGTAAAGGAGTTTGCTGTCCTCCATAGGCCAAATGAAGAATAACAATTCCTGCCTGTCTGAAAGCTCCTACTGCAGCATGTACACAATCATGGGACACTATAAAGATGCATACAAATCATGGAAATATTCATTTCAGGTGGTAATACAGCACTATCTACTGTGATTTGGCTTGTTTTGTTTCCTGTCATTTTACAGATTTCAATTGTACTCACAAAAGCAGCAGCCAGTGTGAGCTGTCAAGACAACCTCTGACAAAGACCAGTGACGGACACTGATGTCATTGGTAATGGCTGCTGGGAGTTCAGGTGGCATCCTTTCTCCCTTTCACCATTGTAATTTATCCAGGTGCCAATCAAATCATAATCTACACGATCTAGTCCCGCCAAGATCTACTAACGAAACATCTTGGTTGGTGGACAGGCAATCAGATCTGAGGGGCACAGGCTGTTTTAATTTTCAGGGTTTTAATAATTCAGGGTTATTCTGTATAATGCTTTTCCCAAGATGTTTTAATATGACTTGACAGAGCATAAAGCGGCTGCGATTGTTAAGCTGTTAAATATCATGCAGATTAGCATTGTGTCAACAAAGTAAAATCTGCTTTGTTTCATTTAAATGCCACTTCAAAGTATTTAGTATTTATTCATCATCTGAGTACCCTCTTCTTTCCTCAAGAGAGGATTGGTATTTGCTGGATTTCCTTATTCTATAGACAAAATTGTTCTTCTTCTGACATTTTTCCTAATGTTTTTCTTCTCTAATAACAAACAACCTGCCAAACACTGACAGTAAAGCTTGTTTTATAAAGAGGCAAAAAAAGTGTTACAAGCTTTCTGAGGAAGCAGGTGGTTTCTAGTTGAGGACATTTGGTGGGAAAAAAAAGAGACATAGTCACCTCTGTAGTATTAGTGTTACACAAAAGAAGGGTTTACTTATTTTTTACTCAGTGGTAAATAAACTTTATGTGAGATTTTTAAATAACCCACAACAGCATAGATGTATATTATATACAATATAGTGTATACATGTATACATGGGTGTTGGAGGGTTTGTTTTACAAACAGTGCGTATTCATTTACCATAAGCTACATTTTAGAAAAGATTTAGCTGAAACACCCTGTGGGACAATAAGGCTTTTGGTGTTGTTTTACAAGGCCTTATATTGTTCATATGAAGAATCCTCCATCTACCATTAGTGAGCCACTCATGGCAGTTAAGGATGACTGGAACACAGAAGCACTGAAGACAAAATTGTCAAAACTACAACTGATAGGCAAATGTAGCTTTCAGCACAATGGCTCTATGTGATCTGTGTTTGGAATTAGGCCCACTGATTACACCTTGTGTGGACGTACCTGTACAGTATAAGAGATAGAAAGATCCCTCCGTCTCCCAGCTATGAGTATACTTACACACAGGCAAAACGGTGCCAAATCTCAGCCACAGAGTGTTAATGTACAGCAATGAGTGTGTTTATGAATCTAATCCTTCATGTGTCTCTTCCTCCCCTTTCCTCTACATCTCCTTCTCTTTCTTGGTCTCCCGGGTGCTGCTCTTCAAAAAGTCGCTCCTGAGCAGCCGATAAAAGAGGACGATATTCATGGCTGTCATGATGGCCATACCCACGCTGCCCAACGTGTAAGCTAGGAGGGGCACTTTGTCCCTGTTGAGCACCAGCCAGCGGGTCATCCAGGCCAGTGTGTTGATGCGGAACACCACGTATGTGCCCAGGTTGATCATGCTGTTGACCCGGTACAGCGTACCTGTAGCAATGTTGGCCATACGTAAGATCTGCCTGAGGTGGAGGAACACAGAGTTTATCTCCACCAACAGGGCCACCACGGCAAAGCCCACATAGCAGCATGACAGCACAGAGAGGCCAAAACAGGTGATCACCTACAGGAGAAGACAATGAGAACAAAGACAAGGAGGAGGAAAGTTACAATGGATTTGTGCTGCATGGTGGATTAATTATGATTAACAAAAAAGAATGGCTAAAGTAATTTAAATAGTAAATTAATAACTAATGATACATTTTTAATTACAAAAGATACTAGTGTACTAGTGGTTAAGATGTCATCGCTCTCAAAAAAAAAAAAATGTGGTGATTTGAAGCAGATAATATCTGATATCTTCATCTCCATCAGCTGACTCTATTGCCAACTTCTGTTAACTGTGAAAGAGTCTTCATTTCGGGAATTAGGTGTTTCTTAATTCTACTAATGTACTTGATTTTATAGATGAACTCAGACATAAACTCAAAAAATGTAAATTCTAGCAGGAAAATAAGAAAAAAAAGTTTTTATTTTAATGTTCACATGGATCAGCACAACACTATGACTGTAGGTTATATCAGTGTAGCTCTCATAACTTTAAGGTGACAACTGAAGGTTTTTTTTGGGAGGAGGTGATTTCCATGTTTTGACTGTGATTTGTTATGCCCTCATGTCTGAATGTATTCTTTCACTTCTGACAGTATATTACTTGATGACCATCTGGAAGGACACCACTCCCATGACACGTTTCTGCTGAGCAGTGCTTATGAAAGTCTGAGATGTAATAAACAGAAACTCCACACAGTGGCAGCAACATCACTCAAACTCTGTCTTGAGAAAAATAAGACAACAGATCCTGTGTGCTGACACTACACTGAGGAGTCAGGGGAAAGGATTACGTACAATATCTGATATGTTGTGACAGAAGTAAATGCTGCTAACACTCTCACAGCAGCTGTGTTGCAGGTGTAAAATCTGGATGACAGAAATGTGTTTATACTGCAACAAGCTGTTCAGCCAACTCTCCACAGGAGTCGGCATCCATTCACAACACCAGATTTCAACAGCTTCATTCACACTCAGAGCACACTCACAGTGTAGTTAAAGGGCCAAACTGCGTTCAGAGAGATTGCACTTTAGTTTCAGACTTGTTGCCACCTAAGCTGCCATGTTTATAAATCAAGAGTGGATGGTGGCAGTGAATGGGATATAGTGAAAGAAGAACACTACAAACAGAGAGCAGTCCAACGTAAGTCAAGTCTTTGGTTAGTCAGTGCAGGTCATGGGATGTAAACTGTGGTGTGAGAGAATGACCTCTACCATCAGTCATGGCTCAGTTGGAGAAGCATATTGTGTTTGTGCATGTGTGTTTTGTATGAGGTCACAGGATGCCCTCTCTAATGCAGCAAACAGTCATGCGATGTGTTGTGGTAGGTTAAACAACAGGGCATGTGAGGAAAGTCAGCAGTCCACTCTCCCTAACTGGAACGTACACTATGTATCCACTGTAATATAGGTGTCTTTGGCTCAAAAAAGGTTCAAAAGGTTTCTTCACTGAATGGTTTATGGTGGCATTAAGCCAAACCTGGTTCCTGGTTCACAATAATTTACATGAAACTCTGGCCATTCATTTTCAAGATATACTGCAGTGACTTAAGTGTCAGTGAAGAGGAGACTTAGACCTATAAGTGGCACTATGGGTAATTTAAAACTCCGCACATAATCCTCTGGGGACCAGAGTCGCCTTACTAAACTTAATGGCAATCTGGCCAGTATTTATTGAAATATCTTAATATGGACCAAGGTGCTGCCCAGACAGACATCACCATCCACATAGCGCACGCACACACACACACACACACACACACACACACAAATCAGTACAAAACAAACTCTTCACCTGTTGTCAGGTTATAATGACAGTGACGACGAACAATGTTGGTGAACAATTACAATGACAACAGTGAAAGCACTGTATTTAGCAGCACAAAACAGACTACCTCATAAGAGTCAGTGTGTTGGGAGGGAAACAGTTACGTCAACAAACAGGACACAGGGCTTTTCAGTACAAAACAAAGCAAAACACACGCTCACGAATGTGTTTAGATCACACTGCAGTGCTGGCTGGCCACTCTCCTGTGAAATTTTTTGTATGGCAGGACACGTGCCAGGTGAGTCTGAAAACTGAGGCAGGCAGCAGCAAACAAATAAATAAATAAAAATATTTTAGTGATGATTGCATTCAGTATAATTCTAATGGTACGGACTGGTAAGCGTCTACCAACCAGATATTCATTTCTATCACTCAATGGTTTGGTCACAGAAAATTGAAACTGATAATACTTGTTATTTAATTTTTACTTTGCTAACAACACAGATTTTGCATTATTCGCCAAATGCTCAATTTGTTAAGTTAGGCCAGGAAAAATGTATTTATTTTTACACCAGCCTAAAATACAACCTTAATTAAACACTACAATTTTATAAAATGTATATATAGTATATGTTTTTGTTTTTGGGTTAGACTGAATTAATGTGAGATCAAGGATCCCTTATTTGGGACAAAACACTGTCATGCTGAAGGACAATATGCTCTGTTGTGAATCCTCAAATTAGCCATGTTGTGACAGTTTTGATATGGCACAGACAAAACAACTCCAAATCAACAGATGGAGGATACAGATTCTTGTCATTTGGCTCCAAAAGATACATTGTGTACCATGCAGCATTTACCAGCTCACTGGTAAAACTAAGTACCCATGAATGCAACATACAGTGTCAACTAGACACATGCAATTACAAAAAAAAATGAAAAAATAAAAAAAATAAAAACATAAAACACACACACACACACAACTTCACATTGAATATGAATCCCAATTTTAAGCAGTTTTCAACAGAGATGAAAGCAGACGGACGATAGTAGTAGTAGTAAAAACAACATGTGAAGTGGTGTGTGTGTGTGTGTGTGTGTGTGTGTGTGTGTGTGTGTGTGTGTGTGTGTGTGTGTGTGTGTGTGTGTGTGTGTGTGTGTGTGTGTTATAAAAACCCATATGCTCACACTCGAATTAACACACACCTACACACACAAACACAGCCGCTGCTTTAGCCAGATCAACAACTGGTGTTTAACCTGGCTCATCTGAAGTCTAATCTGATCTGGGAAGATAAAACACAACAGAACGGGGAAGGGACAGGGGGAAGGTCAAAACAAACTGTTATACAACTCTCAGATAAGTTGATGAAGACGAATTCAGTCAATGCAGTGAGAGTCACTCACTTCTCAGAGTCCATAGGAGTAAATGGAACAAAACTGTGGAGGAACTGGGAGTGAATCACAAATAACAAAAGTTAGAAATATTTAATTTGGATTTAATTTAGAAACAAATTGGCACCAATACAAAGTGTCAAATCAGATTTGATTAAGAAAAGATACATTTAACAGAGCAGGATGGATCAAAGGAAGACTATAGTTTTTCTGACTTCATTAAATTATAAAGGAAACGGAATCATATCCAACCTCAATTACATTTGGACACTATATGACATGCTTCCTGAGGTGTCTTAATGTGAAAACATGATGTTGTTGTGTTCCTCCTTCACGTGTATGTAGTTTTATGGTGGTTATTTCCCCTTTATTGGTGGCTTTATATATTCGCCTTAGACGGTTACCTTATCTTGGTACAAACATTGTTAGCAGAGCAGCTCAGACAGCAACTATATAAAACGCATATAAAACATATTAATGTCGAAGCAATGTGTCACATAAACGCCTATACCTCCGTAATACTTTTCAAGGCTTGAAGCAGCAAATGTAAAAGTGATGAGCCATAAAAAGTTAGATGGAAAAAATGGACAAAGGAGTCCCAGTCTAGAGAGACGACTGTGATCACTGATCTGAACATACCAGGTCATTATCTGGTGACACTGACCCTATATGGCTCAGCAGCCAACCAGATACCAGCAGCTGGCCAAACCTCATCCTGGTTGCCCTCTCTGTGAACATGGATAGGGCCTCAGGGGTCAGCTAACACACTCTGTATTGTTGTCAGCACCCCAAGCCAAAGGGAAAATCACAGCAACCCCCCCCCACCAGCCCCTGGATATATCAACAATTACAATGATTCAGCATTAGCTGGATTTGCCCTGCTAAGCTCTACTGAAGCTTGACTTTCACATTCAGCAGCACCCACTCAATACTGTCCAACTAGACTATTGAACAGACATAAAACATGTATGACATGTGTCACGTCTTTTTTCAAGAATAAACTTTAAATCTCAACTTTGACAAACATAGACAAGACATTCCTTAAATGCTCAGAAAATCATAATTATATTATGAAAACTGCCTCATATAGCCGGGTATCAATAACAGAGCGTGGCCATTTATTTTATGGGGAATGAAGGGGGTAGTCCTTAGGTTTAAATGGGATAGAAGAAGATGGAGTGAGTGTTATTTAACCTTTGGACTGCTCTTATATACATTAACCTACTCTTATAGCCACCTCTGTAAAATCCAAGCAAAGGGCTGAAAAACAAGGTGGTGTGGGTGTTTTTGTTTCCTGCATTTTCTCCCTGTGGGCTCAATTAAACGTTCTCTACACCCTGGTAAGGGACCTTCACATCCCACTTTCAGGGGGAAACACTGGGTGCAAAGATGGCAGGCATGTACAGCAAACGGTAGAATGAACAACATGAAACCTGATTTAAAAAAAAGACACTGTGGTATCTATTTCCTATGTTTAGCATCAGAGGAAACAATCAAACTGACCACAGGTCAACCAAGAAGTAGGGTAAAGTTCACATGATAAAAAGGTTTGTGTCAAGATGACAGGTATAGAAATGTTTGTGCTTTTAAATTGAGCCACTATGGCAATCAGTACTCAGAGGGTAAGCTGACACAGGGATAGATAGAGCTAAAAAAAAAGGAAGTTAACATCTGAAAGGCACAATGGCAGCGTAACAAGTCTTTCATCTTTTTCTTTCTTTTGTCTTTCAAGCATGCGTTTGATGTTACTTTCTTGTCAAAGTATTCTGTAATGTATTATTTTGCATCTGCACATAACATGAAAAATGGAGGGACAGTAGTCAGAAACCTATAGATATGGGGTTCTAAGATCT